AGCAGAGAGCATAGTCGTCATCCACCGTGTACAGCAGCTTAGTCTTGTTCGCTGTGACAGTCACTCAATACAAGGGCAGAACATATGAAACGTGTTGATGACAACGAGGAAATTGTGAGGAAATTTCGGTAAATTTTTGGTGGTTCTCATGTAATTCTGCTCTAAGTCGTGTGTAAATTTACATCATGTGGCTCTGGAAACTCCGGAGCTCGAAACATATTCCAACATTGTGCAACAGTATGGTTGAGATTTGAGCCCGTTGGACTGTGTGAGAAGGTTTTCCTAGTAACCTGAGAGGAGCAGCACGCCTTTGATATTCTGCCTGTTAATGGATCTTCGCACTCGCCTGGCCGCTGATTACTCTAATGTGAAGCTCATGGACCCGGATAGAGACACCTACCCAAAGGCTGCTGTATTGCAAGTAATCTCTCTATCATTTTTCAGCAGTTTTTCTCTTTGGCAACGACGGACAGTACTGTGATAGTACTTGGTGGCTGTCGACTGAGAGGTAGCCCGTGTCAGGTGCTCGGTATGCTCAGCGATGAACAGTCCTACATGGAGGATAAAAGGACAGTCCTTCGAGGTGTGTTCATTACTGTCGTCTGTGGAGAGTATTAGTGAGGTCAAGTAGATGCAACCGGGCAGATCACTGAACAGAGGACGACCGGAAAGGCAACGACTATCCGTGCAAGCGTAGGAGACGGTTATCGCATTTTCTTTGTTCAATCGTTATATATTTCTTTCACTGTTGTACATTGCATTTGCTATTACTATAAGATTTTCACGGTAATGGTTTTGACTATTTCTACGTTGCCTTCGTAGGTTCTCAGTGATGACGGTAGAATGGCAGATCTTTACACTATGCCCTTCGTCGACTCTATTAACGAGAAGCTATTGCCGGCTAAGGAGAGCTCATGTGTACAACTCGGGGTTGTGTGCAGGTGAGTTTGAATACCACGATTAGTGTTTGAGGGAACTCCAACTGTATTAGAAAAGGTTGCAAAGGAACCAACGACCCGACACCGAATCAAGACTGCTTTAGTATCACTCTGCTTGGTAGCAGTAGAGTCTCTCGAGGGAATCCCAACGGCCTCGATTCAGATGACAATACGATAGTCGGACTGGTCTGCGATGGCCACGGACCGTTTGGTCATTTGATCAGCCAACGTTGCACCCAGTCGGCAGCAAACTTCATCTGTGAGCATCTGAGCGCTGATGGTAGGGGGGAACCAATTATGCTGGCCTGCCTGGCTTGAGCGATATATTTCAGAAACTACAGACGTCGGTGCTACATTGAGAGCTGCTATTACAAAATGCCAGAATGACATCGTCAAGTAAGTCACACAGCACTCGGGCTATGATGCCAGGTTCGGAACCTATCTTATTCGATCTATAGGCATGCTGCTCTTCGTCTTAGGTTCGCCGAGGTTATTGGATTTCCAGCAGAAAATAGCGGTAGCAGCCTATCCTGTGTTGTGGTAGGCTACCGTTGTAGTTGTTATTGTGCTCGACTGCCTTTTCCGTAGTTGAGCCTTTGAATGCAGTAGACGGCAAGTTGGTTGTTCATGTGGCTTGGTGTGGTGACTCAAAGGTTGTTGCCGGGAAATACGACAAAAAGATGTTGAAACGGTAAAGATTTGCCTTATTGGATGTCGTTGGTC